TGTGTTCAAGCATCCCGGTGATGGCCTTGGAGATGATGAGAGCGGATGGGGAAGTGGACAGGTCTTGCTGAAGGGTCAGATGAGGCTGGTGGGTCAGGAGGTGGCTCCTGGTTCCAGCCTGAGCATTGAGTGTATGAGGTGCCATGTGGTAACTTCCTGCGCAGTCACCTGCCCTCCCCAGGAGCTGTCTTTGCAGTGCTGGACCCCATGCTCGGTATGGTAGGTACATAACACCTGTGTGCACATGCCTTGTTCCCAGCCAGCGGGTCACGGGCTTGGCAGAAAATGAGTAGCTGACTTGGCTTAACTTCCCCAGCAGTCTCTCCTTGGACTTCTCCTCAACTTCTTCTGGCTGCTCTGGTCTTGCTTCTAATGTCTGCATTTTGGATTTTCGATGCATAGGGACAAAAAGGAAAGTTAGTAGATTCCAAAAGCCTTCATTTTACTACTTATTTCTAGTTCCAGTAAAAAACACTTGCTGGAGGGGGAAGGAAGTTAAAGATTAAAATAAGTACTGGGATTATTAGCAGTGTAGGCATCTGCAACACGTCAGTCTTCATCTGCTGTGGCCAAGTGGGGGTTGATTCTTCCCGAGAAATTCAGAACTCAACGTGTATCCAAAAGCCTCAGGGCTTATATTTCACCCCTGCCCAGTCCTTGTCTTCTGACCTGTGGATTTGCCTGCATTTGATACTTTTGTGAAGCAAAAGGAAAGACCTGGGGCTTTGGGAAACTGATCCTGGTAGCTTGACATCATCAGGCAATTGTCTCTTCCTTTTTAAGAATTCAAATGTGTCAAGTATGAGTTTTGACATTTTAATGATAACTTAATACACGATAAATTAGTGCTTGTTTTATTGAGCACAAATATTAGAAAGGCCACATTTGTAGGACACACTCCATGTACCAGGCATTATCCCAGACCCCATACATTGTTTTCTCCTTTAATCCTTGTTGCGTTTTACAGATGACAAAACTGAGCCTTAGATAAGATAACTGAGCAAAGTTACAGAGCTCATATGTGACCAAACAACGGTATGAGTCAGGGTCCATGTGGCCTCTGGGCCTTTTTCTCTTGCCCACACACAGAGCTCATATGTGACCAAACAACGGTATGAGTCAGGGTCCATGTGGCCTCTGGGCCTTTCTCTCGCCCACATGCCCTGGGCAGTGGTGGTGGCCTTTCATTGTTACTACTGTGAGTCAGATGGTGGACCTCCCTTCTGTAGTCCAGTGAATCAAAAGCATTGTTAGAATTTGTCAACAGCCTGTTCACGGATGGTTTTCAAACTATGTAGCTATTAATTTCCCTGCTGAATCTTACAGAGATTAAATAGTTTGCCCAAAATCACAGAGTTAGTGAAACCCTAAATCTTGGAAGATTAAAACGAGTACTTAATAACACTTTAAGCATGTGGGTTGAATGGCTCTATGACAATTTAGGGAGAATAAGCTGAACTTTCTGAGACTTCTGAAGAATAAGTTATTTAAAAATTTTAAAAATATTGTAGTATCACTGGATGGACAAGTCAGAAAAAAGAAATTTTTAGAAATTATCCCCATCCTGGACCTTACTGCCCTAACAAATAATATGCTTTTATTCTTCCATCTCCTTTTATTTTTAATAACTGCCTATAATTATACAAAGGCTTTATGTAATTTTAATATAGGCAAAGACAGTGGTGTTTCCTGGTGACTTCACTTATCATTATAGTGCTTTTCAGTGTTGTCACATTTTCTTCATGATATTCACTTTTTTGATAAACTAGAGCGTTCTTAGCCTTTAGTTTATTTCTAGTTTTGTTCTTTCCTCTCTGTCTCTGTTCACCACCTCTCTGCCCTGTGATTCGACATTATCCCTGGTTATGTTAAGGGTAGTAATCTGAAATTGACCCCAGATGAAATTGAACTGAAGCCATAAAATAGTCATTTGGGCTTTTTAAAATGCAGTAGTCATTTTGGGGGTGCTCTCCCCACTTTTAAAACATGAGCTTTCTCACTTCTAAAGCATGAAACATACTGTCCTTTTGTTACCGGCTGGCAGTTCCGGGTTCTTGGTCAAACCATGAAGGAGAACCTTGCATGGGACCAAACGAAGTCCACAACACAGGGAGCACCTGCTCAGCAAAAGGAAAGAAAGAGGAATAGACTGACGGAACGTTCAAACAATAGCACTCTATCGTAAAGCAAAAGCACGTGCAGAAGTGAGCATGGGTGGCCTTGTGAGTGAAGAACACACGCATTCTTGGGGAGGCGGTTATATGCTGTTCTGGGATGGGAGTGTTTGTCCTAACTAAGAGGAGGAATATTTGGCCATGGGGGAGGATCTAGAGTAATTAAGGCCTAACAGGCTGATGCAAGGTTCCATCGCCTTCCTGTCATGCATCTCTGAGTTTCTGAAGTTTTTAGTCATGCGCAGTAGGGTTACTTTTCTCCTAACTTTGTCTTTTGTGGTCTAGCATCACAGGTGGAAGGTCACATGGCAGTCTTCTGCACTTTTGTTCCTCTTAGTGCGCAGGTGCTGCAGTTTTTGAAAACTACAGAGTTCCAGGTATAACAGGCTGATTGGTAGGGTGGTTAAGCTGTCGCCAGCTCATTATGGGTTTATCACCTGCAAAACATTAGTGCTGATCCAGTCTGAATATTTATGAGCAGCCTCCCTGGGGCATGCCCCTATTCTGTCCTCCCTCACTTTTTTGCCACACAGTATGCTGTGACCGTGAGGCACACCTTTTACAGCTATTTACATTTGACAGTCCACTGCAACTGCTTTCTGTTAACAGAGCTGCATTAACTGGTATCCCTGTCAGTGGAAAAAGCAGTGTACTCTGGTTGCCTAGACTATACCTCCACAGTGTGCTTTATGTATTAGGTCTGGGCTGGGAGTGCTTAAAAATAAATCAGCCAGGTCAAAGCAAACATTAATCCTTGCCCCAGAGCTTGTTCTTACTTTTTAAGTTAATGAGCTGGAGCAGAAGCAATAGAATGTTCTTAGTCTAAAGCCACCAGTGAATTGCGGTCAAACGGGTATATTTTCTGCCCAAGTGGGTGGTCAAGGTATTGACGTCCAGTGCATCACGGAGAGTCAGGGTTTCTGTTCAGCTGATCTTAGGCTAGCAACAGATCTGATTTGTGCTGATTCTTCACTCTTCCCTACAGTGACCTTGAGGGTCACTTGTGGGTGTCATTTAAAGGCTTTGACTTCTGCTTTCAGGAAATTGACAGCCATTTCTGAAGCACTGTGCTAGGGATCGGGAAGATAAAAGAGCTATGGGGCTGGTGTCTGCTTTCAGGGCTTGCCATCTAGTTGAGAGACAGTAAACTTTGAAAGGTTAACAATCAGGTGATACATGAGGCCCCCAGGACTGACAGAACTTTATGGGAGTGAAGGTTCCTGCAAGGGAGAGGCAGAGGGATTTGTGTCATGTGTAGGTTGGTGTAGACTTTCAAGTTTGGGGTCATTCAACAATAATTTGTTGAGCTGGAAACACAGTAATGAGCAGGCTCCTGCTTTCCTAGGATTTACACTCTGATCTAAAGAAGGCAGATGGTAAACAAGATAATTTCAGAGCTTAGGATGAAGCAGCTCAAAAAAGATGAGGAGAGAGAGCTTTCCAGGCCCAGGGAAGAGCAAGTGCCAGGACCCTGAGGCAGCAGGAGCCAGCGACTGGGGGTTAGAGCGAGGGCCCTCTCCCCCTCAGACTCTGCCCCTCACCAGGGGCTTTCCACCCATCCTACCTCCAACAACCAGCACGCCCCACTTGCTTCCCCATACCCTGCTTTATTTTTCTTGTTGGTATTCATGACTGGGTTTGTACTTTATATTCATTTGTTTTTTTCTTCCTTTCTTTCTTTCTCTTTTTTTTCTATCCCCAACTAGAATGTACACTCTGTGAGATCTGGGACTTTGTTTTGTTTTTTGCTATATCTTGAATTCCCAAAACAGTACCTGGCACACAGTAAGTGCTCAATAAATACTTGAATGGCTGAATGGAAGGTCCATGTGGTTGAGCACAGAGAGAAGGGACAGAGTGGTACCAGATTCAGAGGAGGGGATAGACAGGAAGGAGGGTATGCCAGGCACTTATGAGGGACTGAGTAAGGCCTCTGCAGGGTCAGTGGAAGGGCCAGGCACACAGGGGCAGAGGGTCTCATCTAGAAAGTAAACCAAAGAGCCTTCGGTGGAAGTCAGAGAGAACATGAGCCCTCATCGCACCTAGTATACCAGTCCTCCCTTTCTCTATTTTCTTTCTATATTTGTTGAGCACTTACTATGTTCCAAGCCCCACTGGTACAGAGATACAAAGGAGGAATAAGGCACAGTGTAATATTTCACTTTGGACAGCATAGCAGTCCATCTCAAAGATTTGAACAGAGAGAATCAAATTACACAAAAATATAGGAAACCGAGTTATTTGGACATGAACTTGTCTGTGTGTTCCTAGCTTTTCCTTGTTGCTCAACATTGACATCTGATAATTCTTGTGAAGATGATCGTTCTGGGAATTCATGTCAGAATCACTAAAGCATATTGATAGTATATATTTATATCGCCGACACAATCAACTGATTATAAAGGATTAATGTAGTAATTGAATAGGAAACCGAGTTATTTGGACATGAACTTGTCTGTGTGTTCCTAGCTTTTCCTTGTTGCTTAACATTGACATCTGATAATTCTTGTGAAGATGATCGTTCTGGGAATTTATGTCATAATCACTAAAGCATATTGATAGTATATATTTATATCGCCGACACAATCAACTGATTATAAAGGATTAATGTAGTAATTGGTAAATAAGATCAATTTAAACCTGAAAAAGTTGGTTCACATGTATTTAATGAAAAGAGTATATAAAGATAATACAAATGCTTGTGTCTATCATGGGAAGACTATATTTGTGCATGTGTCAGCCTCTTTGGCTAGACACAAGAGAGCATATCACATTTTCTCATCTCTTTCCTCTCAGGAATAATTCCAGCTAACGGGAAGATGAATGTGACTGTTAAGTTCACACCCTTTCAGTATGGGATCGCACAGATAAAAATGCAGTTGTGCATTTCACAGTTCAACTCTCAGCCATATGAATGTGTCTTCACCGGAACGTGCTATCCCAACATGGCCTTACAGTATGGCTTCTTTGGAGTGTTTTTGTTTATTCTTAAAACTTTTCCAAAAGTCTAAGTCTTCCTTTCTTCCATTCTCTTTCTTGTAACAGAATGCCATCAAAAGCTTATTTAAAAATGATGAGCCTACATAAAATACACTTTTAAATATAACAGTAGTACATAGAATGTCTCTATGCTAGTAGCAGTTGTTGCTTCTGCCAAGAGGGGAAGAAAGGACTCAGGGAAAAAAAGGGATTTTCAA